TTGTTTATCCAGAACATAGTCGGTTCTCAGGAATTGTTGAAAGAAAACACACATGAGTAAATTTCCTTTAGGACTTCCCTGGGCCTCAGTTTCCCCAATGAGAGAAGTTACGGCTGGCCAAGTCCGTTATCCCAGGGAGGACATCCTCCCTGGCCTTGGCAGGATCCTTGCAGCTATTTTGGACCCCTTTTGTTGTCCCTTGGCATCAGGGGACCCTGCGAAGGGTGGGACTCGGGTCAAGCATGTCCCTGGCACGCTCACTGGCACGCTATGGCTTCCATGGTGGCTCGTCATCTGGTGAGCAGGTGCAGGTTGGAAACGGCCCCCAGGAAAGGGGAATGCGTTTCTGGGGTGCCTGTGCCACTTGGCTTCCTGGCGGAGGAAGGAGCGCTGCCTGTCATCCTGGCCCAGAGCCCAGGTCCATCTGCTCTAGGAAAGGTCTGGTTGCTGCGTCGAGCTGCCCTGAGAGAGTGGAGGGGAGCTCGGGGCTGCCAGCCCAGGGCGCTGGGGGAGGCCTTTGGAGCTGGACGAAGGAGCCAGGGTTGGGACAGAAGGCTCAGAGGAGAGGCTCTTGGCATTTTGTTAAACTCAAGCATCTTTGCAGAAAGGTCCTTTCCCTCTGGGGCCCTGAAATCAACATCAAATGCTTAGCTGTCCCTCCATCGCACAGGGCCTGTGAGAATTAAATGAACCAGGCAGAGCAGTTAGCTACGCTGGGCTCATGGTAAGTGCTCAGTTGGATGCTAGCTATTGCTGTGATTTTGCAAACCATTATTTTTTTGTACAGTTCTTTTCTCTTGGGGCGATCATTGATAGGTTTCATCAAATCCTGATAGGACCTGTGACCTTATAGGGTCAGAACATTGGCTTGGACTCTGCAGGGGTCAGTGGCAGAAGGTCTTATTCATCAGACCGAATGGCCATGCCTGCCAGGCCTCACTGCAGACCAACGGCTGCCAGGTGGCCTTCAGGAGGCACCCATCTCAGTCTCAGCCGGTGCGTATCTCCTCTCCTCCCTCCTCCAGACCTTAAGGGCCAAGGCCCCTGCCAGACGCCAGTGTGTCAGGGAGACTGATTAAAAGCAGCTTTGCTGGGGGCGGATAGCTTGGTGTCCTTGGCCTGGAGAGGAGATCGATAAGCAGTTGTTTTTTCTTTTGGCAAGAAGAAAAAAAATTCTCCATTAACTTTCTCAGGTGCTGGCAGACTGGTTTTCTTTTCAGGAACTCTGCAGCCCTGCCGGAAGTGGCTTTGAGAGGGAAGACAGGCCACTTCAGCTGCTCCCTGCCCCGGGGGATGCGGGCCCACATGGCCGTGGTTCTGGAACCCATAGAAGAGCAGGCATCGGTACCTCATAGTAACATTCTGGACTCCGCCTGGCAGATAGTAGGCATTCGGCAGGTATTTCTACAAAGAATAGCTTTTTGAGCACTTAACCATGTACCAGACAGGATATTGAGTGCTTAGCTCATTCAATAATCTCATGACTATCAGGCAGGTGCCCATTTTATAGATAAGAAAACCGAGGCCGAGAGAGGCTAAGTCACTTGTCCACGGCCAGCCCAAGCAATCGAACTCCAGGGCCACTGCTTTCCCCTCCTGAGAGACAAGGATCATAAGAAAGATATGCAGAGTAACAGCAGCTGGGGCCACAGAGAACATTGAACTTGAGTTGTATGCTTTCACTGACAGGGAAGCCAAGACAGGAACACAGTTAGTGATTTCTTTCTCAGATACAGTGACGGGGAAGAGGGTGGAGGAAAAGGGAATGGACCAACCGCTCCCTCCCCTGCCTCTCATCCCAGCTCCTATCATGGCTACAGTTACCTTCTGTCTTTTAAAAATTCATTTCTGAATTTTCACTTTTTCGAGTAAATGTAAATCCAGTGCAAAGTAATTCCCGTCCCCGCCTCACTTCTGCAAAACGGGTCTTTTCTCTTGAGGCCTCTGCTACCATTTTCTCGTGTACCTTTCCAGAAATATGTATGCCTGTGCGTTTATGTGTGGAAGGTATGGCCTCGTCCCCTCTCCGCCAACAGCAGAGCTAAAGCTTTGGTTTTTATCCCATGTCACAGTGTGTCTTGGAGCTAATTCCTATTAGGATGTATAGCGTCACCTCTTTTCAAATAAATGCATGGTTTTATCCTGGGGTACAGGTATAGCTCATTTTATTCACTCCATCCCTTATGTTGGGTCCTTTCAAACCCAATCATCTTGTACGTACATCATTTTTTACGTGTGTGAGGGTGTCCATAGGATAAATACCCAGGCGTGGAATTGCTAAGTCATCTGTGCTTTGGGGATTTTGCTAGATATTGGTGAATTTCTCTTCGTTAGGATGGTGCCAAGTTATACTCCCCACAGCCTCACTAAAATAGTAGTATTAGTATTACATTTTTTGTCTTTGCTCATCTGATACTTGAAAAAGGTGGTTTTCATTGTAGTTTTATTATTATTAATTTCGGTCAAATGTACATAACAAAATTTACAATTTTAACCATTTTTAGATGTATAATTTAGCGACATTAAATTCACAGCGTTGTGCAACCACCACTACTTCCAGAACTTTTTCGTCACCCCAAACAGAAACAATGACTCCCCAATTCCCTTCAATTCCCTTCTCCACCAGCCTCTGTTCTTCTCTCTGTCTCTGTGAATTTGCCTATTCTAAGTACCTCATATTGGCAAAATCATACAGTATTTGTCCTTCAATGTCTGGCTTGTTGCACTTAGCATGTTCTCAAGTTCCAGCACATGTCAGAACTTTATTCCTTTTCATGGCTGAATAATCCGGTGTATGGATGGACCACATTCCATCATCAGTTGTTGGACACTTGGGTTGTTTCCACCTTTTGGCCATTGTGAACAATGCTGCTGTCTATCAATACGGGCGTCTATGTATCTGTTTAGACCCCTGCTTTTAATTCTTTCAGGTATATACTTAGGAGAGAATTGCTGGGTCATGTGATAATTCTGCGTTTGACTGTTTGAGCGCCCACCAAGCCATTTAGTTACGGTTTGAATTCTCCTTACTATAACTGAGGCTGAGCATCTTGTCGCACGATGGGGTCTTTTGTTCTTTGGCTGTGAACTCTGTGTTCATAAATCGTTTTGGGACACCGTGGTTATTTCCTTAATGCGTTTCCATGAGAGCAGGGACCCCATCTGTCTACGTCACTGTCCAGATTGCCTGACATAGAAGCTGGTCCATAAATACTTGTTGTAGGATTGTCCCAAGAGGGCAACTGGCATTTCTCTGCCTCTCGTCCAGGTCCTCCAGGGACCACTGGCTTTCTGCTCCCATCTGCACTTCCTCTCTATCCCCTCACTGCCATCCAGTGTTCTCAAGAGATAATTTTATTTATTCATAAAACCTCTCTACTCAGCACTAACTGTTTTCCTGGCATCGTGACGTGGGTGATCAGCACGAAGCCGCCACCGTCCGCATCTGCAGATGTACTCCCTGAATTCTCGGGGCACCTGTGACATTTGTCCGGCAGAATTTGTCAGACACGCGAACCAAAGGTTAATATTCTGTCCTAGAGATGGAAGGAGTTGACAGTCTAAAGGGAGTGTGTCAATCTTATTTTCTTTTAAATTTACATAACATAAAACTAACCATTTAAAAATATACAATTAAGTGCCACTTAGCACATTCACAATTGTACAACCACCACCTCTGTCTAGTTCCAGAACATTTTCACCACCCCGAGAGGAGACCTGTGTCCATTAGCAGTCACTCCACCTCTCTTCTGCCTAACACCCCCCCAGTCCTAAGTGACCCCTCGCCCACTTTTTGTCTCTATGGGCTTGCCTTTTCTAGAAATTTTGTATAAATAGAATCATACAGATGTGACCTTTCGGGTCTGGCTTCCTTTACTTAGCATGATGTTTTCGAAGTTCATCTAGATTGTGCCACATGTCAGTACTTCGTTCCTTTTTAGGCCTGAAACGCATTCCATCGTGTGTATCCACTACATTTTGCTTATCCATTCATCTGTGGATGGACATGGAGGTTGTTCCCTTCTGGACACTATGACTAATGCTATTTGGGTATAGACTTAGGAACAGAATTGCTAGGTCATGTGATAATTCTTTGGTTAATTTTTTGGGGAACCATCAAGCTATTTGACATCAACGTTTTTGACCTCATGCTTGCCTTGTCTGGCAGGCACCAGCTGGGGGCCGAATTAGGAAAACGTTAGATAATAGATAGTCAAGCCTGGCTCCTCAGACGACACAAACTGCCTTGACTCACACTCCCTGGGCACCTGTCTGTCTTCTGATGTGACCCCTGACCCCCATTCTCATTCGAGGATCTTGGGCTGGGAGGCTGGACTGCTGTTTGCGTGGGCTTTGCCGTAAGGGACCTTGAACAAATCCCTTTCCTTCTCTCAACCCCCAGTTCCCCCATTTTCAGAATGGGGCTATTATCATAGCCAACCAACAACCTCGGGTGCTTGCGAGACGATGCCGATGTGTGGAAGATGTTTTGTAAACTGTAGAGTGCTGTCTGAGTCGCTGCCATGGTGAAGTGATGCAGCCCAGATGTCGCCACGCAGAAGTGTTCCATTTAGCCTGCCCAGCATTCAGAAATATTTGAAATAATTGCGAAGTAAAAGAAAAAAAAGAAAAGAAAAAAATCAAGAGAACTCATCTGACATCTTGGGTTTAGGGCTTCTCTTGAAAAACAGTTGGCATGAGCTGGAAGTGGCTGTGGCCTCCATAGGAGGCTTTTGCTGTTTGGGGGTTTTCTCATACTTGGCTCCCACTGGAATTGAATTTGGAATTCTCCTTATGTGTGTGAGGAGGGGCTTTTAAAATAAGAAAATGTGGGGTGTGTGCTTCTGTATAGTCTCAGAGATCAGATCACATCATGTTTTGCAAGATTTTTTTAGGGTGTCAACCCCAGGCAGGTGAGGCACCAGCTTGGGGTAACAGGAGAGGGCTCCACCCCCCCCACCCCCTGGTTTGGGGGTGGCTGACCCTTCCTCTTTCTGCAGGTGGCGCCGCTGCCCCATGGGAGTGCCCCCGTGTGTCCGTGTTGGATGAGGTTCGCGCACGCACCATGTCATCATGCGTCTCTAGTCAGCCCAGCAGCGACCGGGCCGCCCCCCAGGATGAGCTGGGGGGCGGGGGCGGCAGCAGCAGCGAAGGCCAGAAGCCCTGCGAGGCCCTGCGGGGCCTCTCGTCCCTGAGCATCCGCCTGGGCATGGAGTCCTTCGTCGTGGTCACCGAGTGTGAGCCAGGTTGCACCGTGGACCGCGGTCTGACCCGGGACCGGCCCCTGGAGGCCGATGGCCGAGAGGTCCCCCTCGACGCCGGCTCCCAGGCCCGGCCCCAGCTCTCCAGTCGCCAGCTGTCTCTGCAGGAGCGGTCGCAGCTGGACGCGAACGGACGCTGCGTCCACCCGGTCCAGCCCCCCTCGCCCGTGGGCTCCCCGCAGTCGTCACCACGGCTGCCCCGGCGGCCCACGGTGGAGTCCCACCACGTCTCCATCACTGGGATGCAGGTGCGTGAGCCCGTGTTTGCTGGGGCCCAGGGGTCTCTGTGTTAGGCGGGCTCCCCCAGAAGGATTCTTGATTTGGGAAGTGACCCCAGGAAACCTGGTCCCAGAGAGAAGCGAGAAGAGAGAAGAGAGAAGGGAAGTTGACAGAGGGTGCAGTTATGGAGCGGGCTGCCGCCGTGGCCACCGGGGCTCCACCGTCTGGGGGACCGGGGAGACAGGTAGAACAGAAGCCTCAGGGTCATCCCACCGGAGGCGCAGGGACCTGGGGCTTTCACACCAAGTCCCGGCAGCCTGGTGAGGGCGGCTGAGGGTGGGTGACTTGCCCTGAGTGTGGGCAGAGCCGCTGTGGGCTTCAGAGCGAGCTTCTAGCAAAGAGATGCAAGTGCTGGCAGCTGGGGGCTATGCTAGGGGCTCTGAAATGGGAACAGCAGGTCCCCAAGGGACCCCTCGACCTGACAGCATGGCCCCTACTGCCGAGTGTCTGCCGGGCGCTGTGTTCAGCGCTGTGCGTGCGTTTCTCATTTGATCCTTAACAGTAAACTTGGTGGTAGATTGGGACTCAGACCCCCACCTGGTTCACGGGGCCCTGCGCCGTCTGCCCCGCCCTTCTCTGCCCGCCCCCATGTCTTACACTTCCACTGCCCAGTGGCAGGGCTCCATCCTCACCCACCGCCTTATACACCTCATACCCACACTCATTCCCTCAGGCCTGTGCCTTTGCTGTCACCTCTGTTTGGAGCCTCTCCCGACTTTGCAAAGTCACCCGATGTCTCAGTTCGAATGTCACTTCCTCACACAGGCCTCTGGGACCGCCCTCTCTAAGCAGCCATCAGCCCTCAGGCCCTCTCTGTCCTGTCTCCCCATCGACTTTCTTTCACAGCGCTTGTCACCATCTGATTATTTTGTGTGTCTAGTTGCTCGTTGCCTGTCCCCTCTCAGCCGGAAGGTAAGTTCCATAGGAAGTCTTACCCACCATCGTGTCCCCAGCCCCTCTGACAGTGACTGGCACATGGTAGGAGCTCGAAAATATTTGTTGAGAGAATGAATGAATTTAATTAAGAGAAGCCTGGAAATCAGAAATGGTTTTCGAAAGGGGCTGACATTTAACTGCATTTCGAAGGCCGGGTAGAACTTTCATAATTGGAGATGGGAACACACAGAAAAGAACACGCGGGGGGGTGTGCGGCGTACGCAGAGGCCCAGAGGTAGAAGGCATGATGTGGGGAGAAGGGCAGCCAAGGGTTCAGTTAGCTGGAGTATGGGGGGCACTGTGGCATCAGGGCTGGAGGGACAGTTAGAATTGAGTCAGTTTAGAGAAACATAGACCCCACCCCCCAAAAAACACAATAGGGGTTCTTTATCATGTAAAACAATTTGGGAGCGAGGCATTAGGGACTGGAGTGAAGGTACTTTTGTTGCTTTTGTCCTTAAAACCTCATGGTCTCAGGATGGCTGCTGTGGCTCTAGCTTTCACAGCTCTATTCCAGGCAGGAAGAAGGAGCAGGGAAGAAGGACAAAAGCTTTCTGCCTCCTAAGCCAGCCCTCTTCCCTGGAAGCTCTACTCAATTACTGCCTACCTCTTGCTAGCCAGCACACAGTCACTTGGCCACCCTTAGCTATAAGAGAGGCTAGGAAGTGAAGGTTTTTCAGGATTCGGGGGAGTGAAAGCAACACTGGAGAAAAATGCTGGAAACAACTTAAAATGTCTACCAGCGAGGGGAGGGCTCTGTGAGCCATGGACAGCAGGTCAGAAGACACAGGTCACGTGTACACTCTGACATGGAACTACCTCCAGGGAAAGGACGTTGAGAAATGAGTCAGTGTGACACCATGTATGCCTCCTCATACCCCATTCCAAAACAATACACTGCTTTCTACAGGTGCCTGTATGTGCGCATTCACATAGAAAGAGGCCTAGGAGTTTATACACCAGGCTGATAGCAAGGTTTGGGCAGGAGAGGGCTAGATGAGGGTGGCGGGTGCCAGGGGGATGTTGGGTTTATCGCTAATACCCAAAGTTCTGTTTCCGTCGCGTTTCTTTTCCTAGTTTTACTTCATGTCACTTAACATCTCCTCCTCATTCTATTGAGGTACGATGAAAGGAAAATAAACTGCACGTTTTTCAAGTGTATGATAGGACCAGTTCTGATGTATACGTACACCTGTAAGACCATCACCCCAATCAAGGTCACAGACGTCTCCAGCACACCCAGCAACGCATCCCTCCCCCGCACCCCTTTCCCCTGTACCCGCAGACCTGCTTTTTTATCATTACAGATTCGTTTGCAAGTTCTAGGGGTTTATGTTAGTGGAATTGTCGAGGATTTCCTCCTTTTCAGCTTAGCTTCTTTCGCAGTATAATGATTGAGATTTGTCCATACACCGGCATTTCCTTCCTTTTCGCTGCTACATAGTATTCCATCGTTTAGATGCGCCCCAGCTTATTGATCCATTTACCCGCTGATGGACATTCAGGTTGTTTCCAGTTCGACTTTTACAAGCAACACCGTTACGAACATTTGTGTACATGTCTTTGCCTGGACACGTGTTTTCATTTCTCTTGGATAAATACCTAGAAATAGAATGGCTGGGTCGTATGGTGGATGTTTGTTAAGGAACTGTCAAACTGTTTTTTCAAAGAGGCCGCATCATTCTAAATTCCCACCATACGTTCTGACTAAACCAAATGTTTTAGCTCGTCTAATGGGTGTGGTTTTAATTTACATTTCCCCATGACTAATGATGTTGAGCATCTTTTCATGGGCTTATTGATCATTTGTATCTTCTTTAGAGAAATGTCTTTTGAAATCTTTTGCCCATTTTTTAAATTGGGTTGTCTTCCTATTAATGAGTCGTAAGAGCTCTTTGTATATTTGGCTCATCTTTCATTTTCTTAGTAGTGTCTTGAAGAGCAAAAGTTTTAATTTTGATGCAGTCCAGTTTGTCATTTGTTTCCGTTTCTGTTTTGTGCTTTTTCTGTATTATCTAAGAAACCTTTGTCTGTCCCAAGGTCACACAGATTATCTCTTATTGTGTCACTTTATGTTTTTCTAGGACAACATAGTCATGGATTACTTGTTTAATTTAGAATTAACCTTTTATAAGTGGGAACAACATTTAAAAAATGGTTATTAAAAGAGTATGTACTGTTCATTGATTTTTTCGCAGCATACAGAAGCTGCTGTTAGAAGGCAGGCTAGGGGTCACCCCGGAGGAGGCCAAGTGACTGGGAGGTGCTTCCGGGGAGCTGGGAATGTGTTCTTTTTTGATTCGGGTCTGGGTTACAAGTGTTTCGTTTCGTTCGGTAAAAAAACTTTTCTAGCTGCAAACTTAAAATTCGCATTCTGTGTGTTTCTGCTTACTTTCCAGGATTGCGTACAGCTCAATCAATACACACTGAAGGATGAAATTGGAAAGGTGCGTCTCCTAGGAGCCAGGCTGGTTTTCCACATCTAACGGGGTGGGGGGTGGGGCTCTAGAGCTGGGAGTGGAAGAGGAGCCCTTAGAGGTGAGGTTGGGGCAGGGGAGGGTTTTGTGATTTATGGCCAATTTGTTTTGTTTTGTTTTCACGTCATGATATTAACGTGTTTCTGCAAAAGCACAGAGAGTGTCCAGGGACACCCCATATCACTAGGGTGATAGTTAGAGTCCCCCGCTGCCATATGAGTGTTGGTTCTTCCCCCTAAGATACTCTCGCATCTGCTTTTGCTTTTGTTGCTGCCAGTGGGCAGAATCACTGCAGGGGTGAAAGGCTCACGTGCCAATAGAGAGCAAGTGAGTAATAAACGAGCACAGCGTGCTGGGTATCAGGCAGTGGCATTGGCGAGGGCTCCGAGCATGGAGCGGGCTAGGTGTGAGCGTGGAGAGTAGTGAGGTCTGCGGCGAACTGTACCATACGGAAATGACGATGGCTCCATATGGTCAGATCTTTTGATTTTTTTCAAAACAGGCTGATAATCTGGATTTTTATATCCAAGTTTTCTGTTTGTTTTTTTTTTTAAATGTTGGCGACTCATTCAAAACTTTCTAAAAACGGTAAACTTTCTAAAAACAAAATACAGTTGCAGGGCAGATCTGGCCAGTTTGCAGCGTCTGTCTCAGGGTCCTCGTTTTGCAGATCATGACTCTGGATAGTATGTCCTGGTCCTCTCCCTTTATCCAGGGCTCCTATGGCGTGGTCAAGTTGGCTTACAACGAAAATGACAACACCTACTATGTGAGTATCCACATCCCGCTCCCCGCTCCCATCCTCGTCCAAAGAAAGAGCCTCCGTTCCAGCACTCAGCTTCCTGGAAGCTTTTCTCAGCCGTCGCCTCCTTTTATTCTTAGATCGCATTCCTTTTGTGCATTAGGAAGGAAGTGGCATTTCCATTTTACAGGTGGAAATGGGGAGGCGAAGCGATGGCCCAGGAAGAATGAATGAATAAATTCCGCCGATGTCTTATATCCCGACTCTGGGCTACCATTTCTACATCCTCCCATAGCACGGAGAATCGGGCGGTCGTGAGCCAAAATGGCCCTGATCGCTGAGGCTTCGGAGTTAGTCCGATGTGGATTCACATCCTGGCTCTCCCATGTGCCAACTGCACGACCTTGGACAAGTGACATAACTCTTGAACCTCGGTTTCCTCGTGTGTAAAACAGCCAGTCATACCCGTCCCTCGCCTGTCATGTCATTGCATTCATGTCTTGGTGGCAGTGAGTCCCAAGACTCACGGCCTCTCAGATGGTAGAGCTGACCCGGAACCTCAGAAGCACCCTCAGGGCTGAGGGGACCCCATAAATCCAGCTTCCATGCAACCTGGAGTTGCTCGACCCCCTCTGGTGACAGGACTCTCGTGACATTTTCTGAAAACAGCCAGGGGGCCAGGAGCTCCGGCGGGCCTGGAGGGAACGCTCCCGCCGCCCTCCCGCCCGCTTTGGCTGCGACGCGGGGTCTTGGTCTTTTCTCCCACAGGCGATGAAGGTGCTGTCCAAAAAGAAGCTGATCCGACAGGCGGGCTTTCCACGTGAGTTTGGTGGGTCAGGCGGGCCTTTGTTCTTAGGGGCAGGGGCTGGGGCAAGACGATAGGCCCCACTGAACGGTGTCCCCTACAGAGAGTGCCCTGGGTGGACACCCCAGAGACAGCGCTGGGCCGCCTACTGAGGTTCTTAAATTCATTTTTATTAAAAAAAATATTTATTAAAATAATACAGGTTTCCAGCCGAAACTGGATTTCGTTAACCAATGTCACCATAAAAAAAAAATGAATTAAAATAAATAAATAACAAATAAACAAAAATAAATAAAATAATGTAATATAGGTTTCAAGTCAAAAAATCCGTTAGAAGAAAACAGTTGGACGGTTCTTCAAAAAGTTAACCATGGAGTTACCTACCCTATGACCTAGTAATTCTGGTCCTAGGTGTATGTACCCAAGAGAATGGAAAACACATGTTCACACAAAAGCTGGTGCATAAGTGTTATAGCAGCTCTAGTCACAGTAGCCAAAAGGTGGAAACAGCCCAAATGTCCGTCAGTGGATGATTGGATAAACGAAAGGTGGTCCATCCATCCAACGGAATATTACTCAGCCATGAAAAGGGACGAAACACTGACACACGCTACACCATGGAAGAACCTTGAAAACATGCTGAGTAAAAGAAGCCAGACGCAAAAGGTTGCATATTGTATGATTCTACTTATATGGACTGTCCAGAATGGGTCCATTCACAGAGACAGAAAGCAGATCGGTGGTTTCGGGGGCTGGCACTAAGGGGAGCGAGGGAAGACTGCTAATAGGTGTGGGGCTTTTGGGGGGCTGGGACATGAAAACGTTCTGGATTAGATAGCGATGATGGTTATACAGTGTTGCAAATGCGCTAATCGAATTATACATTTCAAAATGAATTTTAAAAAATTAAATACAATGAGGTATTTGAATTATATCAAAAAAAAAAAAAAAGCCATGAGAGAGCAGGAGGGCTTATAACAGGTTCCTGCCGTGCTCCCCGCCCCTTACAGGCAGCCCCCACGTTTAGCTCTTTTAGGAGCTGGTAATTAAGGCGTGTGGTTGAATGATAGACCTGCTGATGAGCGTATGAGAAGCTGCTCCAACATAAGCTCCCTGCCAGCATTGCTGGGCAAAATGTTGGCTTGGGCCATAACCAGAACGTAGATAAGAGAAAAGGTAAACCCCCTCCGATGACCAGGATCCTGGTTTATCCTGCTTATCTGAACTTTGAGACAGATGCCCTCGCGTGTCGTTACTTTTCGATTTATCGACTTGGGGCACGTACTTCTGACTTGCTCTGGAGACGGGTGAGGATTTCACGTGCTCACACCACTCCTTACCTTCCGTCCCCAACCAGACGACGAAACGCTCCGGCGATGTTTCGCTCCTTGTCATTACCGCACTCGTCACTTCTCTCCAGCAGTGCAGCAGGTGTCTCCGGACTCCTCGCTTCGTGGACGAGGCTGTTAGCGCCCTTCCTCTTGCTTAGAACTCCCCTTTTCTCCTTTCACGTCCCGCTTCTGACCCCTGCCCCTTTGCTTTCACGTCTCAAGGCAGATCACGTCTACGTTCGGTTCTGTTAATTACAGATCCGATTACATACAGTGTGACATGATAAGTGTTTTGTTAACTATGGGTCTTTCTATCATTGTGACCTATTGATTGTCAGTCACTGCAGGGCCAAACAGTGAACTCATTCATTGCCTTTCTTTTCGTCATGGTCTTTTTTTTTTTTTTTTGTCTCTTCGGTTCTTATTTTCCTATTTCTGACTTCATTTTATGTCTCTGTTCTATTCATGAGTTAAAGAGATGAGGGGTAATGTTTTCGTCCATCTTATGGGAAAGCTGAGACACAGAGAGGAAACGTGATTGCCTGACCCTGGGATGTTGAGATTGCCAAGCCAGACCCCAGACTTCTCTTCCCCACACCTCGGTGAACTCCTAACTCTCAGTGTGGCCTGGGGCGTGGGATGGGAAGGAGGGGATTAACAGAAGGCCGAGCGAGGGCACTGTGGTTCCAGCTCACTGATTTTCAGCAGCAGAGGAGACAGACGAGAAGGCTGTGTAAAGCACTTAGTGGCATTAGCTACTCCAGCCCTCTGCAGGGGAACGTCTCTTTGCCCTGACCCTGAGATGATTTGTGTCTCCTTCAGGTCGTCCCCCACCTCGAGGCACTCGGCCAGCTCCGGGGGGCTGCATCCAGCCCAGGGGCCCCATTGAGCAGGTGTACCAAGAAATCGCCATCCTCAAGAAGCTGGATCACCCCAATGTGGTGAAACTAGTAGAGGTGAGGTGGGGGGCCCCGGAGGAGGGAGAGGGGCTGGCGTGGTCCAGCATTGGCTCTGTTATTACCCAGACGCCACCCAGCTGTTTTCCAGGGGCAGCCATACCACATCCGACAGCCCGTTGCAGGACTGAGTCGTGGTTACTGCTCCAGGCGCCTTCGCCCGTTATTTCATGCAATCTTCACCTGTCTCTAAGACTATTTATCGTTCCCATTTTACAGATGAAGAACCTGAGGCTCCTAGGGATACTGAGGCTTCCCTTCACCCATTTCTGTCTCTTCGGAGTCGGTTCTCTTTCCAGTACACATATGTGTAATTATAGCACAAAGACAGCCAGAGACATGTAAACAAATGGGCATGGCTGTGTTCTGATAAAACTTTATTTACAAAAACAAGCAGAGGGCCGGGTTTGGTCTGTGTGCTGTAGTTTGCCAACCACTGCTCTAGATCAGCAGTTCTCATATTTTTGGTTTCAGGATACGTTTATAGTCTTAAAAATTATTGAAGACCCCCAAAAGCTTTTGTTTATGTGGGTCATATTTACCACATTAGGATTTAAAACACTGAGAAATCTAAAAAATTATGTATCAGTTTGTTTAAAACAATAATAACCCTACTTCATATTAACATAAGTGATCTTTTTATGAAAAATATATTTTCTGAAACAAAAAACGTAGTGAAAAGAGTGGTGTAGTTTTACACTTTTGCACGTTTTTGTTGTCGTTTTTAATGTCTGGCTTAATAGAAGACGACTGGGTTCTCATATCCGCTCCTGCATTCAGCCTGTTGTGACATCACTTGTCACGTGGTTTCTGGAAAATCCGTGTACACTCGTGGGGAATGAGAGTGAAAAGGCAAATATTGTCTTAGTATTAAAGGGAAAATAGTTTCGACCTTGTGGACTCCCCGAAAGCATCTTGGGGACCCCTAGAAGTCCCCGGACCACATTTGGAGCACCTCTGGTCTAGGTGACAAGGACAAGGAAACCACGTGTGATAAGGTCCTTTACTGAGTGTATGTTCATAGCGTTGTGGGAGGATGAAGTGGGAACAGCCAGCTCAGCCTGAAGGGTCTGGGGACGGCTTCTCAGGGGAAGTGATGTTTGAGATGGCCCAGTTGTTCCTGGGTGGAGAAGACAGGGACAGGCATCACGGGGCAGGAACGGCATGTGCAAAGGGCCAGAGGCCTCTATTTGGTGGAAAGGTGCACCCCCGCCTTTAGAAGGTGAGAGGGTCAGCAGCCGCACCTCCTGGGGTCCACTGGGTTCAGAACTCTAGGTGCGCCAGGCCCTGGGTCTGCCTTTCTGCACAGGACAGGGCTTAGGGCTCCAGGTTGGCTGCTCCGGGCCTCTGCCTAGGGTGCACCCCT